ATATATTATACATATAAATTCAACATTTTACATTCATAATTGCATTTATACAGTACTTTCTAATTATAAAATAAGAGTTATTATTATAATGCATATGTAACATGTAGAAAAAATATAATTGATTTTTATTTATTTTCAATACCAGAAGATTATAAAATCAATAAGTATTCTGTATAAAAAAGAAAGAAAAAAGGATAAAAAATTTGGGAAGATGAATATTAAAATGTAATTAAGTAAATTTTTCATTTTTACAACATAAAAGATTAAGCATATCTTCCCTACTTTTTCTAGAATTATAATATTTGTATATAAAATCTTTCTTTTATGGATACTGAATATTTTAAAAATATTGAAAATTTTTCAAATCATTAAAATATAACCAATATTTGTTTGTAGACAAATCTTCTAAAAACCTTTGTATATTAATTACATTTATTCGATGTAATTTATGTCTTTTAATTGTCACAAATTATGAAATAAATTTATAGTATACAAATTGCATATAATGTCTTATTTTTAATCCTAATAGTTTATTTTATTGTTTATTTTATTGAAATAAAAAAATATATATTTTTTTTAATATTGAGATTAATCATATTAAAAATGCAATATCTTCAAAATTTGATAACAAAAAAATATATATGGAAAAATCAATAAATATTTATCAAATAATTATTTAAAATAAATATATATATTCATTAAACATTAGCTAAAGATTAGTTACGCATCAATTATATAATTACCAATCGAAATGATAAAATTAAATAAATTGCAAATTTATTCAGAAATAATAACATTAACTTTAATCTTAATATCTTAAATAATCTTTGACATTTGACCGTAATTATAAATTATCGCTAATATAGAAATTATAAATTAACCGATTAATGATGATTGATAATGATACATAATATTATGAATCTCAATGTGACTTTACATTACAATTGATAAATGTATTATATATTTTTGTTCAATATTAATATATCAAAAAGAGAAATAATAAAAATATATATAATAATAATATATAATAATATATATATAATGCAAACTAAAATATTAAATATTATTATTTGTAAATTATTTATATGATTTATATTATTATATATAATTATGAACTTATCATTTCTATGTTTGATATTCAATATTATGAATTGTTTCTTTAAGTATTACGTACTTTTACTCGAATCCATGTTCTTTTAGGAGTAACGATTAAACCTGATTGTTTATCATTAAGTCCTGTCGGTTCACCTTCCACAAACGAGAAATTGAAATTCTGCATTAATACTGCGAATACCTCAAACATATGATATCTTGAATAAGTTTCAGCCGCACAAACCCTACGTCCTAATATATAGAGAAAAAAATTTTATCAATAATATTTAATTTATCGTATATTATTAAAATTCATCTAGAATTATTTACCAAATCCAAATGGAAAAGTGAAATCTTTACACAATTCGTTATTTTCATTAAGAAATCTTTCAGGTCTAAAATTTTCGGGATCACCCCATAAATCAGGATCAGTATTTAGCGCTGCTAAATTCGTGACAACTAATGTATCTTTAGGAATATCGTAATCACAGAGAGTAGTTTTTTTTAAAGTTTTATGAAATACGCTAAATGGTGTCAATGTTTCGCATCTGAGTGATTCGCGTATTGTTGCTTCAGTATATGGTAAACTAAAAGATTTTTAATCTTAAAACGAATTCTTTTTTTCTATATTATTAATAGAACTTATGTCATACCTCTTTCTATCATTCCATGTAACAAGTCTTCCAGTTCCAACTACTTTATCTATTTCTTCTTGTATATTTTTCATTACTCTTGGATGATGCATTACAAACTTGATTGCATGTACAAGAGCACTTGGTAATGCAGATGTAGCTGGGAACATGAAATCGACAAGAGTCATAATAAATTGTTTCTCAGAGAAAGTAGACGTTATATTATTCTTTTCTTTTAAAATTTTTAAATATCGATCAATGAAACCTCTATCGCAATCATCTAAGTCTTTTCTGTTGTCTATATACTCCTATAATAATGGAATTTTAACAATTATTTAATATATGAAAGTAAAATAAATTAAAAATATATATAAATACCTTAACAAAATTGATCATTCGATAAGTTCCTTTTATTGCATTTGTATATCCAAACATGTTTCCGAAATATTTCAAGAACCAAAATTGGAAAAGTGCTCCTCCACTAGTATCAAGTGCTTTTTGAAACATCATAGAAGATTCACAAAAATATATCAATTTATGATATTTTGAACGATCATATCTTTCACCAAACATTATATTCAATATAACGTTTGTAACATATGGATATAGGATATCCGGAAAACATGCATATCCATTTTTTAAAAATTTCTAATGAATTTATTTCTTATTATTAATTTATTTTTTTATTTTTATTATTAAAATCATTGAATAATTATTTTATAATTTTGAAATAATTTTCATTAAAAATACCTTTTCTTCATCGTTAATGGGGCCTTCTTTTAACATATCAACTAAAATTGCTATTTCTTCCATCACATTGGTTTCAAATATTTCGTGTCTTCTACCAAATCCAAAATCTCTCATATGTCGGAGAGCAAATCTTCTTTGCTCATGCCATAATGTACCTTCAGTAAAAAAGATACCTGAAATTTTTAATTGAAAATATCAAATGCATTAATTTTCCTATTCTTATTTGATATTTATTTGATATCTAATTTTTTTCATGAGAAAATACCTAACGATTCTTTAAATGTTCTTTCAAGAATTTCTACGTTGATCGCTCTTCCATCAAATTCTTGTTTTGTTAATATTTCTTTAATACTTTTATAATCGTTCGCGATGATAGTTTTATAACTACCGAAATAGCATGTAACAATTTTAGATTGTAATTTATTTACATAATATATGACACCGTTAGAAGGATATTCATAATCATGCCATAATAAATGCCAATAAGATCCTATTATTGGCAATCGTGGAAGGCCTATTATATTAATAAAATATTTAAATTAATATTTAAATATTATATTAAAAAAAATAAATAAATAAAAAGATAAAAACGAAATCAAATTTTCAGAATTTGTAATTATTAATAAGTTATGAATTAAATCACAATTATCTTATATATAATATAATAAAACTTACATGGTGGTGTATTGGATGATACATGAATGACAGATTTATAAATTTTATATATTATTAATAAGAGAAATATTATAATTAAAAAAGATATCATTTTCTTGCAAATATGAAGCACGACTTGATGATTATATTTATGACTTATTTTAAAGTTTTACAGATTATTATATATCACAGATAAAAAAAATTTTCATTATATGTGTTATTATCATTATAACTATGTATTATCATTATAAGTATGTATATGAAAGTTTATCTTTATTTTTTTGCTACTATTATTTTTATTATGAATTATTATTATTTATTCATTTATTATAACAATTATTTATTATAACAATTCTTTCTGAGAAAATGATTAAAATAAGTTTCATTGCAAATGAAACATCTTAATATTTAATTATTTTTTTTTAGATTTACAAATAGGAGTGAGTGTGTTACATACAGTGAGTGTGTTAAATATTCAAATACAATAAATTTCAATAAAAATTTATATAACTTCAACATTATATAATTAATAAAATTAATATAATATAAATTAAAATTATAATTAATAAAATTTCAATAAACAAATAATATGTACATATTCTTAGAAATTTATTAAATATGTGATCTAAATATAATTTAAACATAAAAAAAAAAGGAGTATGAAATGTACCGTTTATAATTATGAAAATCTGAATAATTTTAAAAAATAAATTCTACTGAAAAATAAAAAAAATAAGAAATTAATAAATGTAATAATTTTTCAATTAATTAAAACATTTATATGTTTAATTATTCTCTTTTGAAAAAACTGTTTATGTTAAAAATACATAATATTTAAAAAATTTATATTAATAAATTATGTTTATAATAGATTAAGATACGCATTAAGATACTATAAAATTTTTTTTGTATTTAAATCTAGTAATTATATAATAAATTCTGTTATATTATTATATAATAAATTTTATTATATTATATAATCTGTTATTTATTTATCGTAATTTTCCGTACAAAGTTGAATGTAGTTTGACCTAAATAATTTTATTATTCATTATCTCGATATTTTTTTATAATTTAATAAGTTTTTTTTTATCATTTGTAATCAAAATAAGAAAATAAAAATAATAAAATAAGAAAATAATAAATAAAAATATATGTAAAATTAGTAAATATATAAAATTTTAATCAAATTATCTTTATATATTAATAATCTTTTGAATGAAAGTGATATTTGATGTGATATTATATACATATTTAACATTATATCAATATCAGAATATTGAATATTATCATAAGTTTATTAATATATTAACAATTGATTTTACCATATTAATAATCAAATATGTATTTTATTTCTTTATTTATCTAATTTAATAATTTTCTTTTAATTTTTCACAAAATTTTTTATTAGGTATAAGAATAGACTAACAAAAATATTTCTAACAAAAATTTCTATTTTATAATACAAAGTATCATACATTTATATTTCTTAAATCGCAACATAAAATATCTAAGTACAATTTATTATATTTTACCATTACTATTCTACGAAACTACAAAAAATAATATTTTCTTTTGTTAAATAATATAGCCCATGATTTATTTTATATTCTAAAACAGATGTTTATATTTATATATTTATATATAGTTTATTCACTGAAAATACTTAATATCACCTAAACATACTACTTGTAGACTATTTTTAATAACTGAACGCATTCGATCATCATTCATAACTGCACAACCTATATTTGGAGATAATTTATATAATAAACAAATACAGTCCTCTAAATTCTGCATTATTTCTTTATCAAATACTGGAGTTTTTGTTAAATCAAAATGCAGTTTTAAAAAGGCAGTATATAATGGTACACAATGAGCTGCCACTCGAAGATGAAACATCAAAAGAAAAGTTTTTGCAGTCTGAAAAGTTATATTCAATTTATATTATAAAAATAATAAAAGAATAATAAATTATAAAATATAAAAATGTTTACTTCTAATGTTGCTTTTAATGTTTTTAAATCTGTATGATGTTCACAATATTCAGAAAGTATTCTTGTTAATCTTTCACACCACTTGGCACAACCAATATTAGTTAAAAGTTGAGGTAAACTCAGCATATATACATGTCTCAATTCTATATTTTGTTCAAATTCCATATTATCTAATAGAACAGCTAAAATATCATCTCGCTTTGTCCACTATAACAATATATAGCATTAAAAGATTTATGCTTAAATTAATACTTATGCCAATTTTATAAACTTACTTCAAATACATTTAATGTATTGTCCCAATGTTCAATAGTAGCTAATAAACTTGTTAAGCATACATATATTAAAATTATATATTTGGGTTCTCTTTGATGCGATAAGCATTCCAAAGCATGAAAAATTACTTCTGCATATCCAGTATCAATCAATCCTTTTTTCTGAATATCCAAATTTAAAAATATTAATATACATCATTGAATAATTTAAATTTATATAATACAGAATCTCACCAAATGAGAATGTTGAATAATTTGATGTAAACATTCAAGACCTATTACAATATTTTCTGGCACATAATCATCAACAATTATTAAAGCTGTTGGAAGCACATCACTAATATGATTATATAAACCTGGTTTCTATTAGAAAAAAATATTAATTTTAATATATCATAAGATTACATTTATTTAATCTTAATGATTTTAATTTACAAACCTCAATTTGATATAAAATCCATTTATAACATGCTACGGATGCTGGATAAAGTTTCCAACTATCTTTCAATAACTTAGGCCTTATTGTTAATAATAATACTGTAAAATTATCTTGCTCCATTAAAAATTCTGAAATGCTTTGATATTTATATAATTCTAAGATTTCGCTAATCAATTCTTTAGAAATAGACACAGATTCTACAGTGTTCCAAACATTTTTTTCATGATGTTCTCCAATGAGTAATAATAAATTGATAGTAAAAGTCTTTATCACTGATGCATTTAAATTTATTTGCAAGTGTCCAACATTACGATTATAAATGATATGCTGAAGCATAGATCTGATATTTTGCAAATTTTTGTCTATAATTTGTTTATATTCTTTGAAGTCTTTTTCTTCGCATGGTCGATTAGCACCGATAGTTTTTTCAGGAACATAACTTTTTTGGACAATATTACTGCATCCTATCCATAAGTTTTCCTCAGAAAATTCGCTTGAGATTTTTAGAGCTTCTAATTCTTCCAAAAGATTATTCATTTTAAAAATATTTGTCGAAGAGTTTGATAAAAGATAACGATTTTCTTGCGCATCAACTTTTTCGTAACGATTTATTAGTTTCGTATGTGCACATAGAAAGTATCATTTTCCGGATCGTCACGACAATTAAGTAAGTATTTCAATTGGATTTGATACCTTTAATTTATGAAATAGTTGTCGACTTTTTTACGAACTTGCTTTCGAACGATCTGAACATTCAACACAAAGCAATATACTACTTGTTATCGAGTATCGAGTCGAACATATAATATTTTGACAAAAATCTTTAATTATATATCATAATGTTAATATTAAATATATTAATTATAACGAATATTTCTTCTACTGACTTACCTTTGTAAATTTACAATGTAATTACTATATTTTGTAATATCGTTCGATATCTCGAAAAAATGATCGATACGAATCTCATAAAATCTCGAAGTACCTGTCATCTTTAGTTTCTTCCAACAATCTGTCATTAAGAGTTAGTTTTCTTTTTCGTATAATCTTTCTTTTTCTGTTTAATATAATTTTTGTATAAGTGTATAGTTTATCGTATTTATATTTTAAAATAAACAACACTTTTGTTGAATTACGTAAAAATTTTAATAAACGCTGTCCAATAGTGTTTCGGTACATTATTCGCTTATACCGAGCGTCGTATCACGTAACATAAATCGTTATTTATTTTAATCTGTTTCGGAGATTTTTGGTAATTATGAATTAAAGAAGGTGTAATAGCTGATAGTTACGACATGGCTGAGTACCGTTAGTTCATTTTCTATTTTGTTTAAATCATTTCTCGTATCAATGTTTCATTTTTCATGATTAGTCTTAAAATTTGTTTCTCCTCCATTTTGCTTCTTATATATGGGACACCGCCCTTCAATCAATTATTAATATAATAATTTCTCATTTCTTTATTAAAAGAACGTAAACTTAAATTTCAGTAATTTTAAATGTTATTTTTTATATTTACAAAAAATTTTTTATGAGTTTCTTATATTCAATTACATAACCTTATTCTTTAAGGTTGAAACAAATTTTTATGGTTCATATGGTTTCGTGTTTTATTTCATGTAAATTTAGTCAATGCGAATAATATTTATAAAATCATTTTTAAAGTATAATGGTTTTTCAGTGTACTCCAGAATGTCATCTATATTAAAACATAAAATGAAATTTATAAATTTTTAAAGATATTACTCTGGTTCTCTTAAGGATCCGGTTCTTATTGTGTATCATCAGGAGTAGGCAGTGATTCTGAAGTGATGGCAGAGTTAGCAGCATTTCTTGGTCAAGAAATTCCTGAAGGAAGAAGTAATCTAGCTGATAATCATATAAATCTTGAACGGGTTGCTGATTATTGCGAAGCAAATTATTTTCAAGCAGAAAACAAGAGAATAGCTTTAGAAGAAACCAAAAATTTTACCACTCAATCATTGGCTAGTGTAGCCTATCAAATAAATACCCTTGCCTATAATTTTTTACAATTATTGGATTTACAAACATCCCAACTTGCTGAAATGGAAAGCCAAATGAACCATATTGCTCAAACAGTTATGATACACAAAGAAAAAGTAGCTAGAAGAGAAATTGGAGTTTTAACCGCCAATAAAATTACAGTACGTCAATATAAAATTATTGCACCAGCAAATCCTGAGAAACCAATTAAATATGTGAGGAAAAGTATAGATTATACAATTTTGGATGATATTGGACATGGAGTACGTAGTAGTGGTACTCCAAGAAGTAAACAACGTGGAGGAAGTCAAGGCAGTGTTCAAAGTTTAGGTGCAGCTTCCACGGGTTCTGGATTAGGTGCTACTATAGTAGGACCAGCTCCTACTACTAAACCACCCACTCCTCCTCAGACAGTAAGAACTGGTAAATAAAAAAATGCAATATATCTTTATCTATGTTTTAAAATAATTTTCCAGTTGTTTAATATATAAATTTTTTGTTTTTTCTTTAGGAACATTGAGCAAAGGGTCACGAGAATACAGAACACCACCTGCAGTTGCTCCACCTCAAGTTCCTAGTCATTATGCTCCTAATTATCCACTGGGTCATCCAAGAAGAGAACGTGGTCCTGGTTATAGTACTTTACCTTTGCATGCTCATACCACATCTCATTCAACTCACAATACCAATCATAATGCACATACAACAAATACTGTATCTCAACATACTTCACCACCTCAAGTAGGAACAGTTCATCCATTGCAAAGTCATCCACAAACACCACCACCAGCACCACCTAGTGTAACAGCAGGATATGTTCAAGAACAACACAATAATATGCCTCGTAAGTATTTTTTTTTCGATTTAGATTCACTTTTAAATAAATAAAAAGCAAAGAATAAAGATTGATTTTTGTTTCTAGCCCCACCTTCACCATTAGTCGGTATAACTGGTAATACATTAGATTTTACCAGTTATCATACATTGTCGGAAAGATTAAATCATCAAGTTAGTCGAAGTAGTGGCGCTAGTAGCCCACCATTACCACCGCCTCCACCACCGGAGCAAGAAGAACATCCGCAATTTGGTAGACCTACGCAATCTAGCAGTGCTATTATGCCTATTGTACCAGATGAGGAAGATTTACCTGGTTGGGTTCCAAAAAATTATATCGAAAAAGGTACGTCGTGATATTTTTTTTAAACATAGTAAATATAAATATTAATATTAAAATATAATAATATATTATCATTTTAGTTGTTGCAATTTATGATTATTATGCTGACAAGGAGGATGAATTAAGCTTCCAGGAAAGCTCTGTAATTTATGTATTGAAAAAGAATGACGATGGGTGGTGGGAAGGAGTCATGGATGGCATAACGGGTTTATTCCCCGGAAATTATGTAGAACCTTGTGTTTAATGCATTTTCTAATATTGATATATCAAATTAGATATCAATTTAGATATATCAAAATCGTGAATAACGACTATTCACAAAAGACTGCAAATTTTAGAGATATATTTGATTCTCTAATTTTAATATATTATTTAGTATTAATAGTCGTAAATATATATATACTAACATGTATTTGAATGATGTAAGAATGCAAAATGGTGCAACAAAATATGGTATGGAATACGATATAGAGATATAAATTACAGATTCTTCCAAAAATCTCAAATATGCAAATTTTCTAAAAATCAAACTAATCACAGTTTGTATCAATATAAGAAAGTGTATTTTTTGGTAAATAGTGCTCCCTTTAATGAGTATTATTTTATTTCAATTTCGATAGATCATATTTATATATAAGTATGCATGAAAATATGTCATTATTATTCTGCTATATAATCAATTAGTTGTTAATTGTATGTATATATCTTAGATGTAATCAATGCGACATTAATAATAAGCTAATCAATAATCAAAATATCAAACGTCCTATTGTCGTAACAAGAATCTTTACGCTTTATATCGAAGGTAATTTTTCATAAATTTGTCTTTTATAAATTGTTTAATGAATTTATTTTAATATTTTAATGGTTAATATTGTATTCATCTCAGGATTTTATTTCACATAAAATAAAGTGAACAAAAGAAATTTTCTTTCTGTTTTTTTTTTTTTTTTTTTTTTTAAAACAAAAAATTTTTTAAAACCAAATATTTTAAAAAAAAAATTTTTTTTTTAAAATATTTGGTTTTAAAAAATTTTTTGTTTTAAAAAAAAAAAAAAAAAAATTTTTTTTTTAAAATATTTGGTTTTAAAAAATTTTTTGTTTTAAAAAAAAAAAAAAAAAAATTTTTTTTTTAAAATATTTGGTTTTAAAAAATTTTTTGTTTTAAAAAAAAAAAAAAAAAAATTTTTTTTTTTTTTTTTTTTTTTTTTTTTTTTTTAATAGATCAATATATTCATAATCCAATTAATTAATAAGTAACGATTTCATTTAATCCGATAGTACTGATATAAGTAATTTTTACAATCTGTACGATATTAATTAATATATTATTAAAAGATAAGTATATATTTCATAATTAATTAAACAATGCTTTTATTATCTATTTTCCATTTTTTCCTTGTTATATTTTAATTATTCTTTTATATATATATATGAACTAAAATGCTTTCACAAAAATTTTATTTTCGCATGGATTATATATTTTGAAAATATCATAGATAAAAGATCATAAATAAATGAAATATAATATAACATATATATAATAAAAAATCGCAGAATTTTTATTTGCCATTAAAAAAACATAATAAAATGTAAGAAAAGCGATTAAAATAAATGAAAAAATTATAATAAAATTTTCAATTGGCGTTCCTCGATAAATTACAGTTATTTATATTTATAAATTTTAAAAGTTCTTGATTCTTCGAAATTTTATAAGTTACTTTTAATAAATAACCGTATTTTTGTTTTAGATTAATTATTTCACAATTTATTTATTATAAATAAAACACAAATTTATGACTTTTTATAAAATTAATTAACTTTCAATTTTATTATATTAATATTACTATTTATATTATGTAACAATTTATATTAAACTGGATGAAGTAAATTTGTTAAAACTCTAGAATTTTTCTATAACTATTATTTTCTTTGATTTTTTTTCACATTAAAATATCTAGAATTTACAACTATTTATTAAATATATATATCAAAAAATTTTTTTGATATATATTTTATGATATAATTTGTTTTGTAATCAATGCTTGCTTAAATTATTTATTAAATGTTGGGAATATTTTTCTCTCATTATACATATATTGAATAAATAATGTAATTCCTCGCTCTTTTAAACCAGAAATGATTCTTATGAGATACAGTTTCGCGGAGTTAGATACGTGAATTCTTACAAGGCGAAAGATTCGTTTTTCAAGTACTTTGTAGAGAGAAAATAGGGAAGAAGAACCGTTTTACGAGAACATGTTCCGTATCTAGGTGAATTTTTCTATTTTCACTGCGTACGTATGAAAACAGGGCACAGCTTTGAAAGTGGTGCACCAAGCTATCCCCGTATATCATGTCTAAAAGAGGTCGTGTGAAAATAAGACTGTAACTAAAAGGGAAAAAAGAAACATTATTTTTTGTTATTATTCATTCTTAAAATATAAAGCAATCCAGACTCGCTCGATATCGCGTTTCTTTTCGATTTGAAATTTCAATATAAAGAATCTTCCGAAAATATAAAATAAAAAATAATGTATAACTATAATTTCGCTCAGATATGTTTTTTTCTTTTTTTTTTCTTGCATTTATTTTTATCTCGTTATATATATTTAAATATATATTTTAAATATTTATATATTTTATATATTTATATATTTTAAATCTCGTTAAAAAAAATATGGTACTTAAATCAAAATTGTAATTTTATTTAAAAGATAGAAAATTAAATAAATAGCATGTAAAATAATCTCAAAACGTATTGACAGTACAATTATTTTATCAATTCCATCAAATATGTATCGATAAATTTATAGAAAACTGTGGACGATTGCGCTCGTCAGATACCCAGAAAAGCATAGAATTCATTCGATATCGAAGTTGCGCAGCGTACTTTATCAAGCTTCTTGGCGACTGGATAAATCTAAGGAGACGGAGTTGGCTCACGTACCAGCTATCTGATCTAATTCTCCAGATTGATTATCCCCCGGGTATGGCCAGACAGCTCAGACCCATCTTCGCCTCGCTTGTAACAGAAACCGCTTCATTTGATTAATACCATTTTCCGCGGACCAACCGCGACCATCTTCCCAACCCCGATATCTCCCTTTCTATCTCCACCTGTCATTCCGTTCCTTCTTTCAACGAATCTTAAAATATTCGTCTTTTATCTCGCAGCCAGCGTTTCGCTTCACCGCGAATCTCCCTTTATATTATAAACGAACAATCTCTCTTCCCTTTTCGTCTTAGAGATGAATTGGACCCGGTTAATTGATATCGACTTAATTCGATTTTGGGAACACGGTTACAAAGTAAGGAGGGGGGAGGAGGGCAAAGTTTCACGGTTAAATTACAATTTAATCAAAGCGAATTAACGTATCTAACTTATGCACTTCCTTGCACAATACACGTACGATTCTCAACGGAGAATGAAAATATATCGTTCCATTATTGCAAACATAGTCTTACACGGAGGCGAGCATTCCTTCTAAAAATTTAATATCACGGCGATAACGCGGAAAACCGTTCGAAAAGGAGATGGTCAAACTCGCGTTCCCTTAGTCCACAAAAGTCGGCGGATTTTATATCCGCTGCCCAGGGCGTGAAACGTCGCCTTTTTATTGGTAACCTTCCCCCCAACGTGACTGCAATAACACGCGAAGGTCGGCGAAGGGATCGGGAATATTTGCAGAGTATATCGAGGGAAGGTGACCGGGATATGTCTACCAAGAAAACGGGATTAATATTCGCCGTGGCTTTTGACTTGTCGATCTGAAGAGGAAATGTGTCACCAGCCGATATCTCTGTGGTTAGGTATGTTGAAAGACTGTACGAGATTCGTGTGTGGTTCGCCGCTATATGGCGAACTGAACTTCTGGTTCCGTCATCAGTCTTAGTTCAACTTGCCGCCATTGTTTCCAGATGTTTCCTTATCTGTACGAAGAGAGTGAATAATTTAAATGCGAATTTACCCCGAATAATCGTGCTTTTTGAAGTTTCATCCGAAAGGATGTATCTTGATATGATAGGTTAAAAGTTGGATAACAAAGCTAAAAATTATCCAAACCATTCGACAAATTAGCAAAGAAACGATCTTTCGAATTGAGAGATTAGTTAAATTTGGAGAATAGGAGAGATTTGAATTATTTTATTTACGTTTAAATTTTGCGATGATTGCGATGACATATGCGAGAGAATTTTTTTTGATCTATCTAAATTGATCAATGATAAACGACACGTAATTACGGTACGAGTTGAATTTAATATAACTTCTGAATCGTAGGTGTGTAGTTATCACCAAGAATCATTCATCAATCTTCTGGAAACAGTTCGTGTATGAAGTAGACAGTATCTAGATGCAATTAGCAAGCTACTTCTCCTAATGCCTGTTTCATATCTCGAAACTTTGGCCATAATTGAAGTCTAACGAGATTTACAGCACACGGAGGAGGAGATGAGTTAAAATTAGTACGAGCGTATAACGTTTCGTAGTTTCTTCTACGTATGTTCTCCTGTTTCTTTAAATTTTATTGTTGTTTCACGTGTAAATCAATTGCTGTATTTACGCACATTTCAAATTCTTTATTTTAAAGATACTGTCGAATAAGTATTTCTATCACGAAAAATCTTGACGAATTTTTATTCTTTATCGATTTCATTTAATATAATCTCACGTATTTGCAACTATTCCTCGAGAAACATCAAAAATACCATTAATTTAACTACGTTATTTAAATAATCGTTCCAAAGATGTACTACGTATTCAATTGTTTTTCTTTTTTTTTTTATTTTCAACAAGATGAACGCTACAAATTCCTCGAGCATCTTTCTTACGTTTCTTTATAGCAGGAAACATTTAGCGAAGGTGTTCGCGAGTCATTAATATTCATGTATTTTAAACAATCTTTCGACGTTTTGCATCTCCATCTTCATTCTTTCTTCTTGTAGTAAGAAAATCGGAATATTCAAACGATAAAGATTCCTCCTATCTACGATTCTAAATATAAATACACATTTATCTCGAATCATACATTTTTGTTTCGAATAAATATAAATACAATGTTTAAAAGATAACGAGACTCTTTGCAAGAAGATGCCTCGAACGAAGAAAGGTCCTCAATTTTGCCACGAATTTTCCGCAATTTCATCCGGGCGTATCGTCGGAAGACAAGATGATCCAAGTGGGAGCCACGTTGCTTTCCATAATGTATGCATTATGGTCCATCCTAATTTGACGGAGAATATCCCGACGACATGAATTTGCGTTACGCACAACGTGTATATCGTGGTTTCGAGTGGTTGGAAGGGGAATTACGAGGGGTTCAAGGATAAACCACGGGGGCATACTAGTCCTCCCCGTTTGGAGCAGGGGTTAAGAGGCTAAACCAGATTTCATTGCGATATTGCCTTTGGGAGATCGTGTACCGATGAGAACGATCTCAACTTCGCGCCCCTTTTCTCTCCCTGGCTAAATCGAAAATAAAAACGTCGGGATGGATATAAGATGATCTCTCGCTCGGTTGAAAACTGGATCGCTCGCTTCAAAACTGGTTTAGATCTTTAAACGCAAAGTTGGCCAAAGTTTTGTACGGAGTTGCCCGTATCGAGGTGGAGAACTGTCACTTCTTAGTTCGCGCACGTGTCTTTGGGGATTGAATTAAACTTCCATCATACATCGGCACACGGTATTTAATGACGTTTAATAACGTGAAATATTCATACGAGTAACAAACGTCGGATGATAAAAGTGTCCCCGGCTTCGTAATTGAATGATAATTTGAAAAAAAAGAAAAAAGCAAATCTTGTTTGTGAAGCACGTTTCCACGCGATACTTCAACCTTTTTTCCTAATGGGATATCGATTGAACGTGCACAAGCGTCGAGAGCTGCCGCAGGTTTCTTTTCATTGAAAGCATCACACATTCACGAAAAG